CTGGGAGCAGCTGGTCTAGAAGGTCCCAGTTCCTTCACCCACAGTGCTTCCGGCCTCCAGATTCCAAGTCCTGCTGCTGCTAAGAGAACTGCATATAGTCAATTGTTTCCTTTTTCTTCTTCTTGAAAAACCGAACTGTTTAAGGTTTCTACTTTATCTGTGCATCAAGTATCAATCTTAGTGCAAGCGAAGGCATTTAAGAGGAAAACAGATTATAATCTACTGGAAAGGAAATCGAAAAGGGTATTTACTGTACGGCATCAAAAATAAAAGAAGGGGAAAAGTCCTTTAACACCTGGATAAGACATTCAGCTATGAGTTTTTTGGCAACTAAGACAAAAATGAAGCACATTGAATTACAGTTTTCATTTTCTGACAGAAAAAAGGAAATGATATAACTTCATTTACAGAGGCAAAACTTTACTGGAACTTATGTAAGCCATAACTCATAAGGAGGTTTTTTTTTTTTTTTTTTTTTTCTAAATGGGACTAAGTTGATTGGACTTTCTTTTAATGAAAAAATGGATTTACTCTTAATTTCAACAGTATGTAATCTGTAAACATGATAGATTTGTTTCACTTTTACCACAATCAATTTTATCTGTACCAACAGGGCCAGTGAGCTACCAGTGGACTGCAGGAAAGATTTAAATACAGAATATACATGGCAGTGCTTACATTCCTTAACTAGTCTTACAAAACAGAGAGAGATCACATTGCCTTGAACTCACAGAGATCCACCTACCTCTGCCTCCCGAACACTGGGATTAAAGTCATGCGCCACCACTGCCTGGCTCCAGGATACATTTTGATAACACTCACTCAGAAAAGGACAACTTTGTATGGCCAGACTCCAGATGTTTTAGGAATGACAATGTGGTACTGTCCTACTTGGAGCCTTTTTCATTTGCCAGCGTGTGACTTGGATCTAACTCATGCTACATCAACACACAGAGCCACACGAGACCTCAGTGGTCTGCCTAAGAGGTGGAGCTGGAGCCCTAACTCAGAGCAGGATCTGAGGAACTTTAAAGCGTGCATTTGTCTTCTATCTGAATCACTAATTTAAGCTGTTGGAATTCAGCTGATTAAAACCATGATTTACATGAAATGATATCCCCAGGCCTGGAAGTTGTATGGAGTAAGCCAGTAGCCTTGGGTACATCTAGTCAGGTTTGTGTCACGTGACAAAATGCCCGAAAAGACAGCTGAAGGAGGATGGGTTATTTTGAGCTTTTGAGCTATTATTTGGACTCATGAATAATGTGGCTTTAAGTCGGATGTATAAAATGTAGAAATAAAATTGCTTCTATAATTTTCAAAGTGTAGCATAATCCTTTAGAATTTAGATGAGACTTGCTATTCTGAAAAGAAAAAGTCTTATACAGCTTTATAATGGAACAGAAACCTGTGGTTTTGATCTCTTAAATATTCAGATTTAAACACATACACCGAATAAGTCAGGTGTCCACAGTGAAGAAACAATTACTGGAAGGCAGAATTCTAGGACGTAAGTGATGGCTGTACCGATGGAGATGGCCCAGAGCGAAAGGCCGAAGAAAGAATAAGGCCCTGCTCTACCTAGCTCTGCCATCTGTTCCTGACGGGCTTATCTATCTCCAGGTTATCGCTAAACTGCAGTCCAGCGGCTTGAGATGGAGCTCAGCCGAAAGCTCGCCTGGTACAGACCAAGTCCTGCGTTTGGTCTCAGCAGCTTAAACACCAGGCCTGGTAGACATACCTTGAAATCTTAGCACTTGGTAGGTGGAGGCAGGAGGATCACAAGTTCAAGGTTTACCTACATAGTGAGTTTGAGGCGAATCTGGGGTACATGAGCCTATACTAAAAAGTAAGGGAAAAAAAAGTCAATTCAGGACTACCTTCTTGCCCCTTACTTTGTGTGTGTGTGTAATTATTTTTATTTTTTGTGAGTTTCACTATTTAGCCCAGCCTCCGCCTCAGTGTCTGGAACACTGCCTCAAGGCCAGTGTTGCCATGATCGCCCCACTTTACTCTTTTATCCATTATAGAAGGTGATATAAAAGACACCTCTAAGAGAACCTATTCCAAAAGCCATTTCTTTGTTTGAATGAGATTTTAATTTATGTGCATGTGTGTGCCTCTTGACTGTGCACCATATGCATGCCATTGCCCATAGGGGCCAAAGGATGTTAAAACTCCTTAAACCAGACTTTCAGGCCGCTGTGAGCTCTCCCACTGGTCGCTCGGAACCGAGCCCAGGGTCCAAGCAGCAAGTGCTCTTAACTGAGCTGTTTCTTCAGCCCCTTCCCTATTTCTCACGAAGATGACCTTCCAACACCCCCACAGCACTTCTAGGACACGCATCTTTGAACTGTTTCCAGCAACAGCCCCAGTTAATCTCTCAACAATATTCTTCCAGTCATTTCTTCCCAAACAGTTGACAAACTTTTTCCAGACCAGACAACAACCTTAGTAGTCTCATAAATCAGTGATTTCTTTTGAAACTTTCTGTTTTAGAAAAATAAAATGATAGAAATATGGATGGAGGGGCTGGAGAGATGGCTCAGTGGTTAAGAGCACTGGCTGCTCTTCAAGAAGACCCGGGTTCAATTCCCAGGACCCACATGGCAACTCACAACTGTCTGTAACTCCAGTTCCAGGGGATCTGACACCTTCACACCAATGCACATAAAAATAAAGTTAGATAAATTATTAAAAAAATGTGGCTGGAAGAAGCAATGATTAAGATAGTATACTGGAAAAATGATTTGGACTGAAACATTGCACTTAGCACACTTACCTGTTAGTGAGGATACCCAGCTACTGGCACTCTTATCATTGCATATAAAGTGCAAAAGCACACTCACCCAGGAAAAGTCTGGCAGTTCTTACCAACATATGCTTACCCTGAAACCCATTATTTGTGCTCTAGTATGTACTAAGAGAAAACAGAGGCCCATGTTTTGCACAAATACCTACATACAACTGTCTAAAGTGGTTTTATTTGTAGATTTGATAATATACTTTAAAATGAAACAAATAAGCAACAACAAAAATCATAAAATAGCTACAAAATTATAACTAGTATCTTTTTTATAGCTAGTATCTTATATTGTAATATTAACACAAGAGTAATTAAAAAATTAAATGTACCATACATAGTATGACCCAAATAGCGATCAACTGGTGAATGGATTAGTGGACTGTGCTGCAGTCATAGAATGTGACATAAACACTCAGTTAAGTGAAAAAGTGAAAAAAAAAGGGCTACATGTTGCTAATTTAAATTATATGACTTTCTATAAAAGGTGAAACCACGGGGCTGGAGAGATGGCTCAGCGGTTAAGAGCACTGCCTGTTCTTCCAGAGGTCCTGAGTTCAATTTCCAGCAACCACATGGTGGCTCACAACCATCCGTAATGAGACCTGGTGCCCTCTTCTGGCCTGCAAGCATGCATGTAGGCAGAACACTGTATACATAATAAATAAATAAATCTTAAAAAAAAAAAAAAAGACCTTGTCTCAAAAATAAACAAATAAGGAACTGGAAAAACAAAAGCCAGTGGTTGAAAGCATTGGCTGCTCTTCCAGAGGACCATGGTTTGGTTCTCAGCACCTACACAGTGACTCACAACCATCTGTAACTCCAGTTTCAGGGGATCTGATGCCCCTTTTGGACTTCTGCGGGTACCAGGAATGTACGTGGTACAAAGACATACATGCACGCAAAACATTCATACACATAAAATTAAAATTAAAAAAAAAAGGTGAAACCACAGGTAAAGAAAATAGGTCAGTTGACATTGAGGTACAGGACTGGGGAAAGAAAGGAAGTCACCTCAAAGGGGGCACGAGGGAGTTTTGGGGGTGGTGAGACTATTTTACATATTGATGGTGGTAGTAATACAATGTATTTGCCAAAAGAAACAAGCGAGTGTTTGTTTGTTAATGTTTATTAATGTCCCCAAAGTTAAATCATATTGTTCACACACACACACACACACACACACACACACACACACACACACACACACACACACACACATCTGAGGTAGCATCTCATACTAACCTCAAACTTCCTATGTAGCCAGCTTTGAATTTCTGACCTTGCTTCTCTTGGCTGGGGGCTGAAATGATAGGGGCTCAGCTTTATTTCGTACTTGGAATGAGACCCAAGGCCCTGTGCATGCCAGACAAGCAGGCTACACCTGAGCTATCTACCTGCCCCTGTTTATCTCTTCTAATAATACGTAAACCACAAAACAATCAGCTAGCATCCTCTGGACTGGATGGATTTAAGAAGAGAGGACGGGTGGAAGGAAGGGAGGGGTGGGGGAAGGAGAAAGAGAGCACAAAGTTAGTGGGTAGCGAGGTGTGGAAAATCCGAGGGAAGCGGATGAATGTGACTAAAATACATACTATGAAAGTGTTTTATAATAACGTTTATAAATTAACAAATTACATTTTCAAAGAATTAAAAACATTTGGTGAGCAACAATTAAAAATAGAAAAGAACTTTAAAATCTGCACATGGTGGTGCACACCAATAATCCTAGCACTTAGGAGCTGAAGGTAGGAGGGTCAGAAGTTCACAGTTATCCTTGGCTGGAGGAGAGATGGAGGCTGGCCTCAAGCTCATGAGACACTCCCCCTTCGCCAAAATATTTGAACTTGAAAGCTCAATATACATATTGCATATGAAGACTGGGCATACAGTGATAGGTAAGACAGACGCACACTAGAGAAACTTAATGTCCTATAGTAGAAAGAAATAAAGCAGGTAGTGGTTAAATAATGTGAAAATCAGTGACTGAGATATAAAAAGGCATCCAGAAATGACAGTTAGCTCTAAAAATAAAGTACATCACAGATCAAATGTTATAAAGATGGATAGCTCACAGTGAGTTACAAACAGAAGTCATTGATGAACACAGGACAGCAGAATCCAATCATCTTCACTCAAACATAGATTTGGAAAACGCTCAAGAGGACAAACTATGACAAGGTGGGAAAAGTACCTCACGGTGATTTAGAAGTTGTTCCAAATCCAATGCCATTTGGTTCTTCGTCTGAAGCAGGGCTGACTTTTCTTTATTTAAATTGCTGTTAAAAACCCAAGTGTTAAAAAGTGACCATGTTGTATGAGTTTAGAGACAGCAAATACAATGAATAAACATAAATTTGATAGTCTGAACTGAAGATGAATGGGATTTGTAGTCGATATACAGAGCAGAGCAGACACTGTGATGTTAACTGAACAAGTGGCTTAGTTATTGTGCGAGGGGAGTGTTTGACAGTGCGACTCCCCTGCCTGCTCTGGGCACACAATCAGTGTTTTACTGACTGCTTACTCCTGAAATGTTCAAAGGAGGTAGAAAAGAAGGATATAAATACATGGACATATTGAAACACAAGATATGAGAAGTCAAATTGAAGCATTTATCCCTAGGACTTACTGTAGTTTTTAATTTGTACCATAGTAAATTACGAAGTACATAATTTAAATAAACCAGTCTACTGTAATTTGCAAAATAATTTTGTCTCCAAATTCTTAGTTTAGTATTAAATTTCTATGTCTACATTGTGTTTGACTCACTGGTAAGTTCTTGTTTATGACAGTTTACTGTAAGGTCATATTAGTATTCTAAGAAATAACTGTGGACTGCTTTATATTATCTGAAATTTTACTATTTGATGCACAGAAATTAATAGGAAGACTCGAATGAAATATTCTATATAATGTCATTTGTAAAAAATCTATGTGACCGGCTCTGTAAGAATTAAGAAAAGCAATAATAAATCAAAATAGCACAGTTCCTCAAATGTTGAGACAAAAATCTGTGAGGGTGAAGTTAATGAGAAGCATTTTGTTGTAAGACAACTTTAAGTTATATTTAACAAAAAGTTACCAATTATAAAAATTTTAGAAAATTTTTTTGAACTTAAATGTAATGAGGGTTCTGGAAGAACTGGCAAGTCCAAGGACTCAAAAAGAAAAAAATCCCACTTCCTCCCGATTAAGTCAGCTTGCCCACGAAGCAGCTGTCCTGAGGAGAGGCCGGTGCATTCTGACTGTTTCCTTCTGTGCCATTCACTCAGCTGTGCAGTGCAAAGCAGAACTCGGTTTTCACATCTGTAAAAGTGTAAACTACTCACGTATGTCAAAGGGATATGTGAATTACCTAGTGAATGATTACATAAAGCGCTGAACACATAAAACTCTACATAAATGCTGTACACTATTACTAACTTAGATGAAAACCAGGCATCAGAGGAAAACAGTAATTAAATGCCAATAAAGCAAGCAGCTCAGCAGAAAAACAAACTGACATGCAGAGGTAGGCGCCAGGGATCCTACTAAGCTGAGCAGTTGAAAAGAACAAAACGGTGTCCAGGACAGAGCGCCATGTTCCGCCAGGCTCTAAGGCATGGTAAGCATCAGATGTTTCTGAAATGCTCAAATTTGAAGCTATTTGTATTTTATCTGAAGATACACACTTCTCAAAATGAAAGTAACGTCTGGGAAACAGAACTAGGTCTTTTCAAGGAGTGAAAACATTATGTTCATATGTAAGTACATACATACACAATACACAAACACTTGCTCATGTGCAGCGCGCGCACGCGCACACACACACACACACACACACACACACACACACACACACACACCCATTAAATAAAATACAGAGCAATGGGAATGGAATGTTGAAGTAATTAAAGGATTCTGACCGGATATTCTCTAGAAAGGCTTTGTATACAGTATTTAACTTTTCAAGAATAAAGCAAGTGTTCCTCAATTTAACAGCACCACAGCCACACGTGCTATAGAATCCAAGTTGGGTGGATAACAGAATAGCCGTGTTGCATCTGAAAGACAGCAGTTTACACAAGCAACACGGATGTTTCAAACCACATTCTGTGACTGGGAGATCTGGGATATACTTCCAAAGTCTTAGTCTTTGCTATAACCTATCTAAGTCACAAGGGACACCACTGTTAGCACGGGCATTTCCAAACCTCCACTGTCCTGATGGTGTGTACTTTCTCAGCAGAAATGTTGTCTTTCTAAGACACAGTTTCTACGAATGGAAAGTGACTTTGAAAATATAAAGTTTCCATGGGTGACTCATAAAGATAGGAAACAAGCTTCCCTCTGAACACATCTATCTTGAATGTTATATTACACCCATAATTGTTCAATTCACTGTTAATTATTACTTAGACACTCATGTTTATGGCTCTGTTTCACCTGCTATATGAAAACATATTCCTGATATATTGTACCTTAACTTCCTGGATCAATATACTCTGGCTTAGCCTTGTAAGAGAAGTTGACAATGTACTCTTTTCTTCTCTAACTAGTAGTTAAGAATAAACTGAGAACTGACAGCAGAGAAAGAAAACTTATGCTAATTATTCTCTTTTTATGCTCCCCTCAGATCCAAAGTCGAGCTCACACTGGATTTTCCAGACTGACTGTCTCCTGTGTATGGTGGAGAGTTAACGTACCACTTTAAGACTCGATTACTACTTTAATGACAGGGGAATTCAAAGCAGTTATTAGCAACCTCTTACTGTGAGCTTTCCAACAGCTTCTGGTGATTTTATTTCAGTCCATACTGATTCTAACCTTTCCGGATACTAAGCGCACTGTGTAGATAGGTCTGGGGGTAGAGCACAGCAGTAGAATGCTTGACTGAATAAATTGTATGAATATTTAAACTTGCAAGGGTTGACAGTAGTGTGATGGCATTGTTTAATTTGAAAAGAAATTCAATACATTTCCTCAGTTCTTTTGTTGTTAAGATAAGGTCTCATGTATCCCCGTTGGCCTCCAACTCCGACAGAGCTGAGGATGACCATGAGCTTAAACTTATGAATTAATTTGTTGTGTGTGTGCGTGTGTGTGTGTGTGCAAGTGTGTTATATGGACCAGTGTACATGCCCACGTGGAAGTCACAGGAAGACATAAGGTTTCCTCTTCTATCATTCTGCCTTATTCCCTTGGGATGGTCTTGGACTGAATCTGGAGCTAGGACGGCAGCCCAGCACACCCGGGATCCCCCTTTCTGCATTACAGGAGTGTGTGGTCACATCTAGCTCTTTCAGTTCTTTTAGATGGGTGCTGGGACCTGAACTCCAGTCTTCAGGGCTGCACAGCAAATACTCTTCCCCATGAGCCACCTCTCTAGCCCTGTAACTGGCTTTTCAATGTTGTCACCACACTTTACTACTCAGACACGAGCAGGGGCAGAACTTAGGACAGAATTTCTAATGCCACAATTACACTACTTTGATTTTTCACAGTAGATGACAGTTGCTTCACCTGGAAGCAAGGTATCACCTCCCATCAAATATTAGTTCAGAATCTATTAAAATATACTATGAACTTAGGAAACACTATTTTGGTAATCCAAGTATGGTGGTACACACCTTCAATCCCAGCACCAGAAAGCAAAGGCAGGTGGTTCTGTGAGCTCAAGGGAATCTAGTTTAAGTAGCCAGTTTCAGGACAGCCAGAGCTACAATGAGACCCTGTTTCAAATACATATTCTGATAGTTAATTCCACATTGACTTATGATTACTGTTGCTATAATTATAGGAGTCTTACTTTTTGTCCATATCCAAAATGAAATGTTATTTCTCATTTTTAAGGTTATTATCAACAGATTTGTCAAGAATTAGATGAATACCAATAATGGCAATTGCTTATGAGTGCTTATAATGTTTAGATACTATGCTATACTTATTAAAAAATTGCATCTTAATCCTCAGACAACTATATGAATTAGGTATGTCAACACTACTCTCACAGATGAAGAGGCTGGCTGTGTAGTTCAATACCATAGCCATTAGCCAATGTGACAATTAAAATAAAAATTAATTTAAATAGCACAGAGAAATTTGTTCTTCAGGAACATGTGGGAAATGGCTATAATACTAGATAGTGCAGCTATGGAAATTTTTATTGTTATAAAAAGTTTGACAAGATAATAGGCAGAGAGCTTTACTAATTTGTCCCAATTCGAGGAGAAGCCGTGGGCTGCATTATAACTCATGTAGCCTATTGATAGAGTCAGCAGGCTACCTCCCTCTACTTTTTAAAAAGAGATCTTCCTTGTATTGTTTGTTAGTTCTGTGTATATGTATGAGTCTGTGTGGGGTATGTGAACATGCGAGTCAGATTCCTGCAGAGACTCGAAGAGAGGGTAGGATCCCCTAGAGTTGGAGTGGAGGCAGCTGGGAGCTACCCTATGTGGATGCTGGGAACTAAACTCGCTTGTGTTCTCTGCAAGAGCAACACTCGCTCCCAGCTACCATGCCATCTTTCCAGCCTGCTCAGTATGCCCTTAAGATTTTTTTTCTTTTTGTAAAACAAGAAGTTCATTACTTCATTTATTATGGAGAATTTTAAATAAGAAAAAATATAATCCTATATATCTGTTACCCGGCTTCAATATTTATCATCTCAAAGCCTTACATGTAATAAATATTCTACACTACCCACTTCTCTTTCTTTGCTATATATTATATAGAGAGAAATTATCCATCCTCCAGGGCAGAGCATAGGGAGGCAGTATAACATGATGGCTATGCAATTTTTTCAAACAGTTACATATTTTTTCTAGGTTAAATATTTCTGGCCACTTTAATTATTTTTTTTTATTTAATTAACCTTTTTTCATTTATTTTATGTAAATTTTATGTATTTATTTTATTTAAATACATAAAATATTTACATCAATATTTATAGTTTCCCCTCCCTCTCTTCTACCCCCCTCCCCATCCACTCCTCCTCCATCTCCACTCAGAAAGGGGCAGGCTTCCCATGGGCTTGAACAAAGCATGGCACATCAAGGTGAGGCAGGACCAAGCTCCTCTCCCAGGCATCAAGGCTGCTGGAAGTAATCCAGCATGAGGAACAGGTTCCTAAAAGCCACTTTAATGCTGAACAGAATAAGTATTTAAAAATTATTTCAAGGCAAATGTAAAAGAGGTATTTTTCTCTAGAGTTTCTTTTCTTTTCTTTCTTTCTTCCTTCCTTCCTTTCTTTATTTTATTTTATTATTTTTTTCAAGACAGGGTTTCTCTGTGTAGCATTGGAGCCTTTCCTGGAACTCGCTCTGTAGACCAGGCTGGCCTCGAACTCACAGAGATCCACCTGCCTCTGCCTCCCGAGTGCTGGGATTAAAGGTGTGCGCCACCACTGCCTGGCTTCTCTAGGCCTTTCTTCAAGTTTATAAAAGTAAAATGATAGCATTATAAAAATTTCAACTATAATAAATATATAACAAGAAAAAGTACCATCTGAGGTTTCTTCCTCAGTTTCCCTAACATAATTACATGCATAGCAGATGATGAAATACATAATTTCTGTTGTTTGCAGCATGTACTTATAGTCAAATCAATCAATTAATTGAATCAATTTGTTAGTAATTACATTTAAGAAATATTTTAAACTTTACAATAGTTTTAGAAATAAACTTATTTATTTTGATGTTTACTATACATATGTGACTTTATTTTATCATAACACCAAAAAATTAAGAGCAAGAGTAAAGTTCTGGGACAATGATTTTGGTGTGGTAGGAGATGATTTACATCAAAAGAACACTCAGATTTCAGAATTAAGCATGAGAGTTCAATGTTTTCAGTCGTACAACTTAGGAAACCTATTTCCTAATTTTCTCTTGTTTCACACTTATGGTGGTTTAATGATTATTCAGAAAATTAAATTTTTATATCAATCTTAAATTTAATAACTAAGCTAAATAACCAACTACTCATGAGTTAAAACCTTGTTCTCAACATGCAACATCACTTATTTTTCTTTAAAAAACTAGAAATGGGTGTCAGGAAGAGGGCAAAAGGGCTCAGCAGGTAATGCTGCTTGCAGCCAGGCATGACAAACCCCATCTCTCTCTCTCCTCTCTCTCTCTCTCTCTCTCTCTCTCTCTCTCTCTCTCTCTCTCTCTCTCTCTCTCTCTCTCTCTCTCTCTCTCTCTCTCTCTCTCTCTCTCTTGTATGCAAAACCAAACTCATAAACCCCAGATTCATCAATGAATAGGTAAACAAATGTGAATGACAGAGCTTGGCGTGGTGGCACACGCCCTTAATCCCAGCATTTGGGCGGCAGAGGCAGGCAGATCTCTGAGTTGGAGGCCAGCCTGGTCTACAGAGCTACAGAGAAACCCTGTCACATAAAAAAAGAAAAAGAAAAAGAAAGAAAGACAGGAAGAAAGAATGCGTGACTAATAAAGGAAGCAAATCTTTTGCATAATGTTTGTTCCCCTAACACAGATTCAGTTTTAAAAAAAAAGTGTTGGGAAGGAATTTATTTCTTGACGCCAAGGTAATTCTTGGGTTACTTCATGTAAAGGATCAGAGGCAGATAAGCCCAGCATTTTCTTGGCAAAGTCAACATAAATCTAAGCAAAAGTCTAAACTCAACAGTTTAAAAAGCCATCTTAACTGTAAAATGACATGTGCTTACAGTCCTTCCCTCCTGACCGCCCCAATGCTCAGTAAGGAATCTAGGGGACAAGAACAAGCTGGCTCATGGGCCCTTAGTATGCACAGTGTTTTGCTAGAGAGCACACCATTATTTCCAGGCTAAGACTTCGGATCCTAAGATGAAATATGAACAGCTATTATGATGTAATGTGTGAGTACAGGTGCAGGTGAGCCATGCTGCATACAGCGTGAGCCATGCTGTGATGTGGAGGGCCAAGACTCCATCATTGCTTTCCACCGTTTTTAAGACAGGTTTTTTTTTTTTTTTCTGTTGCGTCTGCCATGATAGCTGGTCTGTTAGTTTCAGGGGATCCTCCTGGCTCCACCCCCATCTTGCTTTAGAAGCACTGGGACTAGAGATGTGCACTACTGAGTACTGAGTCTGGCTTTCTGTGGTCCTGGATTTACACTCAGGTCCTCATTCTAGCACAAACACTTTACCCAACAAGCCATCTCCACAGCTCCTTTCTTTGAAGTCTGAATCCTTATATAACTTCAGACTATGTTTATAATTCAATGATTTAAACTGTACAATTCAAATAATCTGCAGCAGCATATTAACAACGCCTTTATTATTTGAATAAAAGATGTGTAGATGGTTTACCTGACATCTTTCTCCAGTTGAGCTGTACTCTTCATCAGTGAATCAATCTTGGAATCCCTTTGCCGCACAGACTCTATGAGGTATCTGTAGGGTTGCTGAGTCTGGTTTAACAGTGAATTGGCTCTGTCAAGCTGAAGAAACACACTCGTCATTAAACTGCAGAAAACTTGACAACACACTGAAACTACCCCTGACACTTTACTGTCACAGCACAGTATCCTCTCAATGGGACTTTTCTAAGCACTGGAGTCTGAACTCAGGACCTTGTGCCTGCACTGAACTACATACCACATACCCAGGACCTCAGGCCTGCACTGAACTACATACCACATACCCAGGACCTCAGGCCTGCATTGAACTACATAACACACACCCAGGACCTCAGGCCTACACTGAGCTGCACACCACATACCCAGGACCTCAGGCCTGCACTGAACTACATAACACATACCCAGGACCTTATGCCTGCACATAGCTACATACTACACACCCAGGACCTCATGCCTACACTGAGCTGCACACCACATACCCAGGACCTCAGGCCTGCACTGAACTAAATAACACATACCCAGGACCTCAGGCCTGCACTGAGCTGCACACCACATACCCAGGACCTCAGGACTGCACTGAGCTGCACACCACATCCAGAGTGCATCAAACTTTTGCACATGAACTATTCTGAAATGCTAAATAAATCTGTATACATTTAGAGGTTTAAAAAAATGACTACTCAATACAGTCATTATAAATAATAGTACTAATAATTATAAACAATAAAGGAAAATGTAAAATACTAATAGAGATCAATCTGGAAGACTGGTCACCCACATTTTCTATTTGTTTATCTGAGCAACCACATGACAAACATACATACATACATACATATATGTATTTTCTTTTAATGAAAATTCATTAGATAAAACAATCTTTCATTTAGACTTTATTTCTAAAAATATTTATCATTCAATAATTTTATTTCTTCATATCTCCTTTAGTTTTTAAAACATATAACTCATGCACCTGAATCATTTTATATAATTAAAAAAATTAAAATTGTGGTTAAAATACAAAAAACCAAAATCCCCCAAAAATCAAACCCATAAAAAGTTACCATTTAAACCAGTTTTCTTTTCAAGACAAGGTTTCTCTGTGCAGGCCTGGCTCTCCTAGAACTTGTGTTATAGACCAGGTTGGCCTCGAATTCAGAGATCAGCCTGCCTTTGCCTTCTGAGTGCTGGGACTAAAGGTGTGAACCACCAGGACCTGCCCATTTAAACCATTTGTAAGTATACAATTCAATGGCATTAACTGCGCTCACAATGTTTTAGAACCATAATGTTGATCTTTTATTTCAGTGCTGAGGATTGAAGTCAGGGTCACATACATGCCAACCAGACACCCTAACCACTAAACTATGTTCCCAACTCAAAGAACTGGCTGGGCTGCTTTTCAAGACAGAGCCATGGTTTCGCTTCAGCCTCTTGAGTGGGGGATCACAGGAATATACCACCACACCTGCTTACATTTTCTTTCTTAAGTCTATTTTAAAATCTACATACTTGTAAATTTTAAGCTTTATATGCAATTTACTTTGGTATTTCAATTTTTTTTTGAGGAGGGCATTCCATTCATTTTATGAAAACAGTAAGAGAAGTCAGGTGTAGTGTTGTACTCCTTTAATCCCAGCACTTGGGAGGCAGAGGAACTCTGTGAGTTCAAGGTCGGCCTGGTCAATATAGTGAGTTCTAGGACAGGCAGAACTACAGAGTTACATAGTGAGACCTTGTCTTTGAAAAACTAACCAACCAACCAGTAAAAGTAAACAGGTAAGTGGGCCAATGAGATAGCTCAGCCAGTAAAGGTCCTAGCAGAAAAGGCTGGTGACCTGGGTCCAACGTCACACACAAAGGTGGAAAGAGAGCCAACTCCAAATTTGTTCTGTGACCTCCCCATCTATGCTGTGACATGTTTGTCCATGTACACACACACACACACACACACACACACACACACACACACACACAACCATTGAAAACCCAAGAAAACAGAAAGTGAGAGCCTCCCAGACATGGAGGGGAGGGAGCAGTGAGATGGGATGGGTGTAAATGTGCGGGGTGGAAAGAATGGATGAATCTGGGCAGTAGACAGCAGCGGAGTAGAGCAAAGGCTTCATCAGTGAAGACAACTACTGGAGGGGCCACTTTCCCCCCAGCGAGGGTGTTGGTGTGCTTTTCTTTTGTCCTGATGTTCATTCTTTAAAACCCACTGTGATGTCACAGGAATCTTACCCTACTAAATTACTTTAGAAACATTCAAATACACAGCCGAATGAAGTTCTACTAACCTGTATAACCAGTTTCTTTAGTCAATTATATCAAATAATTGCCTTGACTTTGTTTTCACAGAGCTGACCCTGGCTGAGTAACCTCAACTGACAAGTGGCTTTGCGTTTCAAAGTGCAGTCTGTCTGTCTTCTACCTGTGCCTGTGAGGAGGGCGGGCAAAGGTGGAGGGCAGGCCGGGCATTCACAAACTGCAGGAAAACTCAGGTCGAGAAGGAGCAGTCTCAAACTTACCAAATCTAACTTTAATTGCACAGAGTATAGCAGCCATCCCACACATTTTAGTTGACTTTGCTTTTCACAACAGCAACTACATGTACTTGTTTTTAAAATAGCAAAATGAGCCAAAAGCCTTACATGTATCAAATTTACATGCTGGGACTTCCTCACATTCAAGAAAACTACAACATTACTGTCTTAAGGATATATGTCTTTATAAATGTGTGTAGGATTTTAGTCTCCTCTTCCTTTCCCTAGGGCCTCATAGACACTTGTCCATACTACCTTTTAGTGCAGGCGAGTTCACTCCCGCTAGTACAACCCCACCCTCTCCACCACAATCTATTTTCACTCCCCGGGGGAGAAGAATACAACTGTCAATAAAAAGTGTGGATATTTTTATTTGTGAAAAAGTTAATTGAACAGAATTTAATTCCTCTGATTAAAAAAGAATTTCCCCAATACAGTTTTAAGGCCTTTTTCTAGTTACAGTAATAAGTATTCAAAAAGTTTCACAATCACTGGCTGCCTATTGTTAGTAAGCTTTTCCTTATAGGAAGGCGTTAGTAACTAATGACTCAGGCACCATACATCACATGACTCAGGATTAAATCCATGACACAACAGTTTATAGGATTGTTATTCCTCCTTTGTTTCACACTTGTACATATGATTCAGAGGAAAGCAGTACCTGTTTAAAATATAATTATATTTTGCATTCAAAAACTAATTCAAGTTATACTGGGATGATAATTCAAAATTATTTCTCTTAAGATTACAAAATATAAATGTGATCCCATTTTGTTGTTCTCTTTTTCCTTTTTAAATTTTGAAACAGGATCTCTCTACATAGCCCGACCTGTCCTGGAATTCACAATGTAGACCAGGCTGGCCTTGAACTCACAGAGATCCATGTGCTTCTGCCTCCCAAGTGCTGGGATCAAAGGCTTGTGCCATCACACCTGGTCCATGTATTTTTTCCTTAAATGCAGAATCTCGTTCTTGTAGAGTCTCTTTTTCACAGGAACTCCTGGAAATGGGGATGGATTGTACTGTGTCCTACTAAGTAGACTTACTACATGTGACATATGTAGATTTGGGTTACATTTGAGCCACTTGCTTATCTTTGCATGTGAAATATCTACTTGATGTTCAACATTAGGCAAAAAAAATCTATGTTCTCAATCACTTGGGAAAATGTTACAAAAAAAACAAACAAACCAAAAACAACAAAACAAAACAAAACAATGAGTCTCATCCTGACCAAACTAAATCAAAACCCAACAGGGCTCTGATTGTGATGAGTATCAACACCCACTCCCACCCCAACCCGTTCAAGCCAGCTCCATTTTTTTATGTTGAGACTTAACTATCTCAAGCAGTTGGTGATTTCGTTGTTAGGATCTGGAAGGGAAGGTGACACTGTGTGTCAGGTGTGCCCTGGTGCTCGCTGGACTGCAGGCAGGTCTGGAGGCTCAGGCGAGGGACAGTGTAGACAGGCTTGTAGTGGTGAAACAAATGGGCTTCAGAACAGCAGCGGTTCACCAATGCTTCTCCAAGTCTTCCAGGACTTTAATCATCAAAAGCAAGTGCCTGCTAACTGATTATCAGCTATGCTTCTGGTCTTGAGTTTTTGTTTTTCTTTAATTTCTGAGACAGTCTCTACGTGTAGCCTAGGGTAGCCTTAAATTTTCCATGTTACTGCCGCTACCTCCCAAGTGTTGGATTCTAGGTCAGCACTACGAGGCATGGTTCTAGTCCCAAGTCTCAAAATGTTGGAATGAAGGAGAAAGTCACAGGGAAAGATGTTAAAGTATGTGATAGCCAGCATGGAAGAGGTCTTACTGAAGTTTATGAGACTGTAAAGTATTAGCCATTCTAAGTGTGGTCCTGCATCATTTTTATTAGGACTTGTTAAAAATAAAGATTCTTTTTTTTTTTTGGTTTTTTTTTTTTTTTTTGGTTTTTGGAGACAGGGTTTCTCCGTGTAGCTTTGTGCCTCTCCTGGATCTCACTTTGTAGACCAGGCTGGCTTCGAACTCACAGAGATCCTCCTGGCTCTGCCTCCCGAGTGCTGGGATTAAAGGCGTGCACCACCACCACCCGGTTGAGATTCTTAAGGCTTCGTTCTACGCCTCCTTGATCATAGTCTGAGGATTGCATTTAGAAACCTGTATCTTACGTAAGAACCTTGGATGACTCTTATGTGCACTAATGTTTGTTTGTTTCAGGCAAGGTCTCACACCATAGCCTAGGCTGGTCTGCAACTCACAACTTAGTCATGCTGGTCTAGAGCGCATAGTGATCTGTGCCTGCTTTCATCACCCCAATCCTGAGATTACAGGTAGGAACAAACTTGATTAATATTTTAGAATCCCTGTTGAGGTATGAGAGTGGAGAAAAGGGCAGACATGAGAGGATCAACTCCATTTAAGAGGTAGAAGAAAGTAGAGAAGGTTCAGTAAACGAAAGGGTAAAGGTGCTTGCCACCCAGCGGGGTGACCCGAGTTTGCTCTCCAGAACCCACACAGGAAACCCACTATCAGGAAATGACAACTCCTGTCCTTTGTT